CCTAGATACAGTAAAAACTTTTTCTTTCACTGGCAAACGTCCATCATCATCTCGTTCAGAAAAGATGTTGCAAAGCTAAGATAATTCAATAAGTTTAAAATTATACCGAATGAATAAAACAGCTTAACACAAATATACTTAATTTTTTTGGTTATTAGTGGATAGTTGTTGCTCAGCCAAAAACCAAAAAAGTCATAAGTTTTTGTGGAAACTACTGCAGCACAAATCTGCGAGTGTCAACATAAGAACTTTTGCAAATGATTCACACAGTTTCTTCAGCTTTTATTCAGCTTCTTTTTTTCTTCGCAGTTGTAGTTTTTGATATTTTATCAAAAAGAATAAGCTTTTTTCAGCGGTTATTGATAAAATTTCAGTGGGAGATGTATTTGTTAGTACGAAGTACAAGAAAATACAAATGCTTGATAAGGTCTTAGCAATGAAGCTTTCCTTTACCCTATATATAAAAAAGCAAAAAAAGAAAACTTGTTTTCCAACCTTCAACAATCATTCCTCGGTTCAATGCATGAGATGGTGGCACTGTTTCCTCGCTAACCAATGCTGCAGTATGATATGTTCCGATTGTTTCAATAACCGTCAAAAAAGCAGCAACAACACAACCGATAAACAAATTAAGGTTGAATTTTAGTGTGCCATATTCGCCTTAAATTACTGCACTGTATTTATAAATTTTTATTATAAATAAATCTCATGAAACAGATATTTTCAGAAAGAATATGTGAAGTTTTACCTAATTTTGGAATACGAAACCAGGGTGCATTTTGAAGTGCAGTAATTGTTTCAGCTCTATCAAGCCTAATTGCACTATTTGTAGTTGTTGCATTTGTAATACTTAATAGTAAGCAACAGCCCCAAGTTATAAGAATAGCAATAAGGTACTGAAAGCGTCGAAGTATTAATTTGGGATCATAAATATATCATTGATGTTTGTAGCAAATGAGTGAAAAATATTACAGAATAACGCTCAAATAATCTGTATTTCTTTATGCTCAAAGAACCATTCTTCCAGGAAGGTAATGGACATTCAACGTTGCACAAGAAGAGTATGGAAACAGTGAGCAATATAATTTGTCTGCAACAGTAACAACAAAAAATTTGTAAAAAAGTTAAGGTTGTTTTTTATGAATATTTCTTGATATCTACAACAGTTTAAAAGAAAACGAAAGTTCAGTGTGTTTACACGAGAGACATCCAGTGCATTGATATACGTTGTAGGCTAATTTCAATGGTTGAATACATCACTAAAAACAACATTGTGCTCACTGTAATAGGCCCAATAAAATTTCGAAGTGTACCAGCAATACCCGTAATTCCTGCTAAAAATGGTATTATTGCTGAAGCCGCTAAACTTCCTGCAATCTGAAAAAAATTCTTCTTAATTCTTACATCTGTTAAATATTAATTTTGCAAATTGCACTTGCTAATAGTATTCAAAATTTGCAAAAAAAAAATTAACAGAGAAAGTAACAGTGTTTAATGTTAAGAAGATACAGTTGACAGTTTGTTTGCATATTCTTCAACGAACTCGCTATTATTGCTGCTGTTGTTAGACAGACATTTGGTTTGGGAAAGATACATATGCACTGGTGCCAAAAAAGTGTATGATGGTCCTTGAAGAAGTGCAAGTCTAAATAAAGCAAGAAATTTTTTACGTAGCTGAAAGACTGTTCAAGACAAGCTTTCATCAAATCCTTGTAAAATTTAATTTTTTACCTCATGCCAGCTTCTGTTTGTATGATTGTGGTTAAACCAGAAATAAACAACGCTACAGAGACTAAAGTTGTTCGTACCTTGTATAGGTCAGCACCTGGGCAAATTTCACTTGAAATTACATAGGGAATAGCAATTATAGAGCTGATACATGTTGACACTTGCTGAACAAAAAAAATCTGATGAAGATCTAGAGATTAGCAAACGAATAAAAGTTTAATTGTTTTTTGAGAAATACAATGCTGCGATGTTTAGCAATTATTATGTTTTCTTCTGATTACAGCAAAGCGTTGAAAACGGTATTAAGTATGAAACTTTAAGCAAAAAACATCATATTTTCTGCATTATAAATCTAACTAGATAATGCCAAAATCTTTATTTTTTGTAGAAATACAATTATTCCTCACTTTCCATTTGTATCTGACATAATTCCAGCTCGTACACTAATCAAAAAGGTTGTTTAGAAATCTTGCGATAGATAATACAAATTTGTTTTGTAAATTTTACTGGCTGTTTAAGCAGATTTGCCAAAAAACCAAAACTTGATCAAATGACGTCACCTGTATACCAAATATCACTGCAGTGAAAAACGGCAATTTATCTGAAGCTTTGTAAATCCTCTTTTTCACTCGATAAACTTCTGCTGGACTTACCTTATGATGGTTTTCCATAATAGTGACCAAATTTATTGCTCCTACATAAAAAACTTGAAAATTTTTTTTTAATGTTATTATCGTTGAATTCACGAAATAAAAAGCCAAATATAAATGACCCGACATCCACATTCAAACAGGCGTTTGGTTGTAACAAGTTGTTAAAAAAAACCCAAATATGAATAGCTAACAACAGTTTTTAAACAGGCGTTTAACTGCAGCTTTGAAGAACCATTTTTTGTAAATTTTTACGAATTTTTTTCTGCAGTTCTTCAACCAGTAACAATATTACATTCTATTTAACTACGCGAACTGATAAGGCGATAAATACTTGAGTTGTGTAAATCTTTTGTTTTTGATATCCTGCTTATTGTGTTTTACAAGAAAATTAATTTTTG